ATGTTAGAGTGTGTATGTCCTTTCACGAGACGGGGTTTATTGCGTCCGAGTGAATATTTTCTTTCATGGGATAGTGCGTCCTGCGTCCGCAACGTTGCCATATTTATCTCAGAAATAAACAGGCCATGTCGATTATTGCGTCCCCCAGAAATCGTGAAGTATATTAATGTTTGAAAGTAGAGATAAACTTATTTTTGAATAGAGAAAACGAATCCAACAATGATCCTTATATCCCTTGTAATTAAAAGAACATTTTGATTTCATCGTTCGGGTATTACCGCGTCCTTTTATCCAAGATGTGTTAAAGTGTATATGTGCTTTCACAACACGGGGTTTGTTGCGTCCAAAGAGATATTTTCTTTCATAGGACAATGTCTTCTGCGTCCGCAACCTTGCCATACTTATCTCAGAAATATACAGGCCATGTTGCTTATCACGTCCCCCAGAAATCGTGAAGTGTATTAAGGTTTGAAGGTAAAGATAAACTTATTTTAGAATGGAGAAAACGAATCCGACAAAATGAGTCTTACATTCCTGGTAATTAAGAGAAAATTTTGATTTCATCGCTCGGGTGTTGCTGCGTCCTTTTATCGAACATTTATTAGAGTGCATATGTGCTTTCACGAGACGGGGTTTATTGCGTCCGAGTGAATATTTTCTTTCATGGGATAGTGCGTTCTGCGTCCGCAACGTTGCCATAATTATCTGAGAAATAAACAGGCCATGTCAATATTTGCGTCCCCCCGAAATCGTGAAGTATATTAAGGTTTGAAGGTAAAGATAAACTTATTTTAGAATGGAGAAAACGAATCCGACGAAATAATCCTTACATCCCTTGTAATTAAAAGAAAATTTTGATTTCATCGTTCGGGTATTACTGCGTCCTTTTATGAAGCACATGTTAGAGTGTGTATGTCCTTTCACGAGACGGGGTTTATTGCGTCCGAGTGAATATTTTCTTTCATGGGATAGTGCGTTCTGGGTCCGCAACGTTGCCATATTTATCTCAGAAATAAACAGGCCATGTCGATTATTGCGTCCCCCAGAAATCGTGAAGTATATTAATGTTTGAAAGTAGAGATAAACTTATTTTTGAATAGAGAAAACGAATCCAACAATGATCGTTATATCCCTTGTAATTAAAAGAACATTTTGATTTCATCGTTCGGGTATTACCGCGTCCTTTTATCCAACATGTGTTAAAGTGTATATGTGCTTTCACAACACGGGGTTTGTTGCGTCCAAAGAGATATTTTCTTTCATAGGACAATGTCTTCTGCGTCCGCAACCTTGCCATACTTATCTCAGAAATATACAGGCCATGTTGCTTATCACGTCCCCCAGAAATCGTGAAGTGTATTAAGGTTTGAAGGTAAAGATAAACTTATTTTAGAATGGAGAAAACGAATCCGACAAAATGAGTCTTACATTCCTGGTAATTAAGAGAAAATTTTGATTTCATCGTTCGGGTATTGCTGCGTCCTTTTATCGAGAATTTATTAGAGTGCATATGTGCTTTCACGAGACGGGGTTTATTGCGTCCGAGGGGATATTTTCTTTCATGGGACAGTGCGTCCTGCGTCCGCAACGTTGCCATAATTATCTGAGAAATAAACAGGCCATGTCAATATTTGCGTCCCCCCGAAATCGTGAAGTATATTAAGGTTTGAAGGTAAAGATAAACTTATTTTAGAATGGAGAAAACGAATCCGACGAAATAATCCTTACATCCCTTGTAATTAAAAGAAAATTTTGATTTCATCGTTCGGGTATTACTGCGTCCTTTTATGAAGCACATGTTAGAGTGTGTATGTCCTTTCACGAGACGGGGTTTATTGCGTCCGAGTGAATATTTTCTTTCATGGGATAGTGCGTCCTGCGTCCGCAACGTTGCCATATTTATCTCAGAAATAAACAGGCCATGTTGCTTATCACGTCCCCCAGAAATCGTGAAGTGTATTAAGGTTTGAAAGTAAAGATAAACTTATTTTAGAATGGAGAAAACGAATCCGACAAAATGAGCCTTACATTCCTGGTAATTAAGAGAAAATTTTGATTTCATCGTTCGGGTATTGCTGCGTCCTTTTATCGAGCATTTATTAGAGTGTATATGTGCTTTCACGAGACGGGGTTTATTGCGTCCGAGGGGATATTTTCTTTCATGGGACAGTGCGTTCTGTGTCCGCAACGTTGCCATATTTATCTCAGAAATAAACAGGCCATGTCGATTATTGCGTCCCCCAGAAATCGTGAAGTATATTAATGTTTGAAAGTAGAGATAAACTTATTTTTGAATAGAGAAAACGAATCCGACAATGATCCTTATATCCCTTGTAATTAAAAGAAAATTTTGATTTCATCGTTCGGGTATTACCGCGTCCTTTTATCGAACATGTGTTAAAGTGTATATGTGCTTTCCCAACACGGGGTTTATTGCGTCCAAAGAGATATTTTCTTTCATAGGACAATGTCTTCTGCGTCCGCAACCTTGCCATACTTTTCACTGAAATATACAGGCCATGTCGATTATTGCGTCCCCCAGAAATCATGAAGTATATTAAGGTTTGAAAGTAAATATAAACTTATTTTTGAATGAAGAAAACGAATCCGACAAAATGATCCTTACATCCCGTGTAATTAAGAGAAAATTTTGATTTCATCGTTCGGGTTTTACTGCGTCCTCTTATAGAACACATGTTAGAGTGTATATGTGCTTTCACGAGACGGGGTTTATTGCGTCCCAGGGAATATTTTCTTTCATGGGACAGTATGTTCTGCGTCCGCAACGTTGCCATACTTATCTCAGCAATAAAAATCAAATACTTTTTTAATATAATTAAAATTGTCTGTTCTTACTGCAGTTTTGTAATACGCTTTCTTAAAAATAGCTCCTACTTAAAAAAAAATCTAAATTTACTAAATCACACAGATTGCAATTTTTGCGTCACAGTAATTTTTAAAAGTCAATATTTGAGCTCGAAAATAAATTTTAAATATGTAGGTAGGTATTCCAGATATGTTGAGAAAAACTTTAATTTGAAAGGTTTTTTTTATGGCTAAGTCCTTTACCATTAAGCATTATGTCGCGTCATATACCGTCATATAACTATTGTAACAAGGAAAATATGGAGCTTCAGAAACTATTTCAGAAGGAATTGATTGTTTAAATTATTTAGGGCCGGTTTATAGGAAGCGAATTAAATATTTAATCGTGGATTAATTTGACAGAGGATTCAAATGTAGAATATGAGCTCGTGATTGTTTAAAATATGCATGTTGCCTAGCAACGGAGCTCAATTCAACGTTAATCGTGAATTAACTTTAATTCGCTTTCTATAAACCGGGTCCTAAAGTTGTCAAAATGATTTGACAGATTTATAATAATAATAATAACAGAATTGTATAATGGAGTGAGCTATTCCTGATTTAATCAATAAAATAAATTCATTAATTTTTTTGTGACACCTCTATAACCAATTCTAAAAAATATGAATGCAACGATAATTTTGAGATTACGTCATCAACTTCTTGGAAGGGATAAACAGATAACAAACGTATGTTTTTCCCAAAAATCTGAGCATCTCGGGTAAAAGCTCGATACGGATTCATAAACTACTCGTGTATGGTATTTTATATAAATTAAAACCCATCAACTCAATTTATTCATTCAGTCAATCTAAAGTTTAAAAACACTTATTATTATTCAAAATGAATATTTAAAAGCTTCCGAGCGGATTCCGAATAACTCCGAAATTTCAAAAATAAATTTATTAAAGTGTACGTTATTGAAAACCTGTTACCATGGTGACTATTGAACGCCTCTACACATAGCAAATATGCACAGCATTATTATTAAACATTTACTTTGACACAAAGCACACTGGCGTTGAATAACTATTCATCACATTCGGTTCTATACTCAATATACAAGATCAAATAGACCATTTGGCACCATTTTGAACAACCTCTCCTGTATATTAAACGAGGTGAACATGAAACTTCGATGGTCTTCGGTTTTCTTCGCAAAATTCGGTAATGAGTTGCGTTACCGCACTAGTGCGCATTCAAAATGTCGAAACACGTAAATTCGTGGATGGAATTTCACGTGTTACAGCGTGTTATCGTGCTCGACAAACATCGCACTTGTACGATAATGACGCTTTTATCCCACTTGCAGCGTAAATAACTAATAAAATGCGAGTAGTCGTTCCAGCTGTCGTGGCGCGTCCGCCAATTTAGTTAACCCTCTTCTGTGTTTCGGATTAGTCTTTGAAAGAATTCGGGTTTCGTTTCCATATAGGAAACTAGATTCCGTAATGTGATTTATGGTCGCCTACCCTTCCTGCTAGCCCATTTCTGTCCCAACATTTTCATTTTTGTTTTCAAGTTATTGATTAGACTCGTATGATAAGGAACACGCCGTCAAGCCCGGAATGCGTTTAATGGTTCGTGAAAATTTTTTCAGTCCTTTATTCCGCAAATACCGGGCGACTCTTTTAAAAGTGCACGTGGAAATTTAAGCGCTCGTCCCGCAGACTCGTCGTTTTTCGTTTATCGAAAATACAAACTAAATCTTGCGTAATCTATTCAATTTATTGCCCCAGCTGCGGCGCAATCTGATTACAAAACAAAAAATGCTAACGACTTTACGTTTGTTTTGCGGGAGCTTTGCTTCTGAACTAATAAAATTATCATGCGGAATGGCAACTATTCGACTCGGTGTACAGAGGGCGGCGTATTGTTTGCGCTAATTAATTTAGTGGCTTCTGTTATATAAATGTAGTTTTTCCACTTGGGTGGAGTATTTTCTCAATTAAGTTTTGAGTTATAGCTTTTAATCAATTTTGTTTTCTGGGGTATTCAGCCGTAACGTTTTACAAAATTAAAGGATGAAAGCTATATTTTTAATCGGCCGAGCTTTCGGGCTTTGTTCGCCTGTTATCGAACACTTAAATTAAATTGTTTTCCAACTATGTTATTGATGAATGGTGTTGTTGCAGGTCCTGGTGTAATGAACTTTCCCTCAGGATAAGGAACAAGCGGAAAATCTCACAGGTATGAAGCAGAAAATACTCTTTGTTTGCTCATTGTAATGCGATCCTTGTTCATGCTTAATGGGATTTCTCTTCGCTAGATATTAATCAGATAATTCTTGCTTTAAAGGAAAACTCTTTAATCGAGACTCGTAATGTGATCCCATAATGCTAGACAATATTTCGCACGATCAACAATGGGGGTCATGCCGAAACGACTGATGGAAAATTTAATAATACGAATTTTTTAATGTGATCAATAACTGCTCCGAACCCTAGATTACACTGAAAATTGCCTGAAATTGGACGCAACAAATTATTCTTTTTTGTGATCAATATAATTCAACAGAGTTATTTCAGGTTATCACGTAAAAATACAAACATTCGTGAAAATAGTACTTACTCTAATTTTTACTGTTGCCAGTACTGTTGTTTAAAAAAAAATATATTGAATCCAAAAAATTTTAAGACATTTCTGCATATCATAATATATTTGAAAACCAGTGTCGTTTCATACAGATTTCGCGATTTTTACTCAATCAATACCAAAAAAGCAGTAGGTACCTAAGTATTGCATTAAAAAATGGTGAAGGTGACGGGATAAAATTAAAAATATATTTTAAAAATTTTAAGGAAATTTCAAATGCATGAATAGTTTATTAAATACGGAATAATGAAATCAAGAAAACTATATGGCATTTCATATTGTCACTAAAAAAAAATAAAACTTCATGAAAGTAATTGTTTTTCTTAATTTGTGTTTCTTTTTATTGTTTTCCTTCAATTTTCCTACAAAATTCCATACTATGATGTACACCTTCAAACGATACTAAAATCTATATAGAACAACTTATTTTTGAAAATGGTGGAGGCGCCGGAATAACAATTAAATCTGTTTTAAGAGTTTTAGCGAAATTTGTCACAAAAATATTTAAAACTTGATGAAAGCATTTCTTTTAGTCTTTATTTTTGTTGTTTTTTTTTTTCTATTGTCGTATCAATTCCCATTACTTCGGTCTACACATTTAAGGAATAGTCAGATCTAGATCAAATAATTTGTTTTTAAAATTGGTGGAGGCACCGGTTAGCAACTGATTTAAAAAATATATTGAGTCAAAAAGTGTTTAAGAAATTTCAACTTGTCGTAATACGTATATTTGAAAAGAAATTATGCATTCCTAATGTTTACTGAATAAATAAAACATAGTAAGGATGGAGGCGCCGGGATAACAATAAATCTGTTATAAGAATTCTAACGAAATTTTAGATTCCTGAGGAGTACGGAACAAAAACACAAAAAAGAGTATATGCCATTCCATATTGTCAAAAAAATGTTTGACTTTAGAAAGGTATTTACTTTGGTCTTTACTTTTGTTTTTTATTATTTTCGTTATATTTTCTTACAAAATTCCATACTATGGTCTACAGCTTTAAACAATAGTAAAATCTACATGTAACGATATATTTTTGAAATTGGTGGAGCCGCCGGGGTTGAACCTATTTCCAAAAAATATTGTTTCTAAAAATTTGGAAGAAATTTCTGTCATTATATTTGTATTTGAAAAGAAATAATACATTTCTTTAAGAAACATGAAATGCATGTTCATTACCTAGGGATTTATTTATTTTTAATGAATACATGAAAGTTGTAAGGATTCCTTAAAAATGGTGGAGGCGTCGGGATAACAATAAATCTGTTTTAAGAATTTCAACGAAATTTTAGATTCGCGAGTGGTTTATTAAATATAGAACCGAAAACACAAAAACGAATATATGCCATTTCATATAGCCAAAAAAAATGTTTGACATTATAAAAGTGTTTACTTAAGTCTTTACTTTTGTTTCTTTTTATTATTTTCCTTATATTTTTTTACAAAATTCCAATAGTAAAATCTGCATGTAACAATATATTTTCAAAAATGGTGGAGGCGCCGAAGTAGAAACCTATTTTCAAAAAATATTGTTTCTTAAAAATTTGGAAGAAATTTCAGTGTCATAATATACTTCAAAAAAATTATGCATTTCTTTAAAAAACATGAAATTCTTATTGGTTTGCTATAGATTTCATAATTTTTACTGAATAAATAAAACATTGTAGGATTCCTTGAAAATGGTGGAGGCGCCGGGATAACAATAAATCTGTTTTAAGAATTTTAACGAAATTTTAGATTCCTGAGGAGTTTATTAAATATGGAACAAAAACACAAAAAAGATTATATGCCATTCCATATTGTCAAAAAAAAAGTTTGACTTTAGAAAGGTATTTATTTTGGTTTTTACTTTTGTTTTTTATTATTTTCCTTATATTTTCTTACAAAATTCCATTATATGGTCCACAGCTTTAAACAATAGTAAAATCTACATGTAACAATATATTTTAGAAAATTGTGGAGGCGCCGGGGTAGAAACCTATTTTCAAAAAATATTGTTTCTAAAACTTTGGAAGAAATTTCTGTCATAATATACTTGAAAAGAAATTATGCATTTCTTTAAAAAACATGAAATTCTTGTTGGTTTTCTATAGATTTTATATAATTTTTACTGAATAAATAAAACATTGTAGGATTCCTTGAAAATGGTGGAGGCGCCGGGATAACAATAAATCTGTTTTAAGAATTTTAACGAAATTTTAGATTCCTGAGGAGTTTATTAAATATGGAACAAAAACACAAAAAGATTATATGCCATTCCATATTGTCAAAAAAAAAGTTTGACTTTAGAAAGGTATTTATTTTGGTTTTTACTTTTGTTTTTTATTATTTTCCTTATATTTTCTTACAAAATTCCATTATATGGTCCACAGCTTTAAACAATAGTAAAATCTACATGTAACAATATATTTTAGAAAATTGTGGAGGCGCCGGGGTAGAAACCTATTTTCAAAAAATATTGTTTCTAAAAATTTGGAAGAAATTTCTGTCATAATATACTTGAAAAGAAATTATGCATTTCTTTAAAAAACATGAAATTCTTGTTGGTTTCCTATAGATTTGATATAATTTTTACTGAATAAATAAAACATTGTAGGATTCCTTGAAAATGGTGGAGGTGCCGGGATAACAATAAATCTGTTTTAAGAATTTTAACGAAATTTTAGATTCCTGAGGAGTTTATTAAATATGGAACAAAAACACAAAAAAGATTATGTGCCATTCCATATTGTCAAAAAAAAGTTTGATTTTAGAAAGGTATTTATTTTGGTTTTTACTTTTGTTTTTTATTATTTTCCTTATATTTTCTTACAAAATTCCATTATATGGTCCACAGCTTTAAACAATAGTAAAATCTACATGTAACAATATATTTTAGAAAATTGTGGAGGCGCCGGGGTAGAAACCTATTTTCAAAAAATATTGTTTCTAAAAATTTGGAAGAAATTTCTGTCATAATATACTTGAAAAGAAATTATGCATTTCTTTAAAAAACATGAAATTCTTGGTGGTTTCCTATAGATTTTATATAATTTTTACTGAATAAATAAAACATTGTAGGATTCCTTGAAAATGGTGGAGGCGCCGGGATAACAATAAATCTGTTTTAAGAATTTTAACGAAATTTTAGATTCCTGAGGAGTTTATTAAATATGGAACAAAAACACAAAAAAGATTATATGCCATTCCAAATTGTCAAAAAAAAAGTTTGACTTTAGAAAGGTATTTATTTTGGTTTTTACTTTTGTTTTTTATTATTTTCATATATTTTCTTACAAAATTCCATTATATGGTCCACAGCTTTAAACAATAGTAAAATCTACATGTAACAATATATTTTAGAAAATTGTGGAGGCGCCGGGGTAGAAACCTATTTTCAAAAAATATTGTTTCTAAAAATTTGGAAGAAATTTCTGTCATAATATACTTGAAAAGAAATTATGCATTTCTTTAAAAAACATGAAATTCTTGTTGGTTTCCTATAGATTTTATATAATTTTTACTAAATAAATAAAACATTGTAGGATTCCTTGAAAATGGTGGAGGCGCCAGGATAACAATAAATCTGTTTTAAGAATTTTAACGAAATTTTAGATTCCTGAGGAGTTTATTAACTATGGAACAAAAACACAAAAAAGATTGTATGCCATTCCATATTGTCAAAAAAAAAGTTTGGCTTTAGAAAGGTATTTATTTTGGTTTTACTTTTGTTTTTTATTATTTTCCTTACATTTTCTTACAAAATTCCATTATATGGTCCACAGCTTTAAACAATAGTAAAATCTACATGTAGCAATATATTTTAGAAAATTGTGGAGCCGCCGGGGTAGAAACCCGGAAGAAATTTCTGTCATAATATACTTGAAATTCTTGTTGGTTTCCTATAGATTTTATATAATTTTTACTGAATAAATCAAACATAGGAGGGTTCCTTAAAAATGGTGAAGGCGCCGGGATAACAATAAATCTGGTTTAAGAATTTTAACGAAATTTTACATTCCTAAGCAGTTTATTAAATATATAACAAAAAACACAGAAAAGAGTAGATACCATTCCATATTGTGAAACAACATGTTTGACTTTAGAAAGGTATTTACTTTGGTCTTTACTTCCGTTTTTTATTATTTTCCGTATAATTTCTTACAAAATTACATACTATGGCCTATATTTTTGAAATTGGTGGAGGCGCCGGGGTAGAATCCTCTTTTCAAAAAATATTATTTCTAAAAATTTGGAAGAGATTTTTATGTCATAATATATTTGAAAATAAATTATACATTTCTTTAGAAACCATAGAATGAATGTTCATTTCATACAGATTTCATTATTATCACTCAATCAATTCCAAAAAACTAGTAAGCATTCCATTAAAAAAATGGCGGAGGTGCCGGGATAATAAAATTATATTTTAAGAATTTTAACGAAATTTCAATATACTCAGGAAGAAACATATGCCATTTCATACTGCCACCAAAAAGGTATTTAAAATTTTATGAAAGTATTTATTTTAATTTTTACTTATGTTGTTTTTTTATTTTTCTTCAATTTTCTATAAAATCCCATAACTTTGGTCTACACATTTAAGGAATAG